TGAGAGCCAGGGGTGGTGTGGCTAGGGCTGCATAAAGAGAAACAGTGATCAGGGGCATGAACTATACACCAAAACTGCTTTATTAAGCTATATAATAATCTTGGTGTCTACAGTGTCCCTTTCATTTATTTCCCATTATATATATCCATCATCTAGCATCAGCCAAATAGGAAGCAAAGTTCTGGGCTAGCTTTGCAGAATTTGTGCAGCTTTAGCATTCATCGTCAGCAAGCAGAGCATGTTGCCGTCAAACATGCAGCCATTTCACTCGCAAGCACTGTTCTGTGAGTATATCTGCAACGGCTGCCAATGTTGCATCTGCATGGCTTACACACACAAAGACTGATTATATTTTGCATCACCTTGCGCTCTGCAAATTAATCATCTATCTGTATTAAAAGCATTTGATTGACACTGACCAGCATGGAAAGGAAGTTCATTCTGAGCAGCAATGGAAAGGATCAACAGTTGCAGATGACGGCGGGAAAGTCCAAAATAAATTAGAGTGTGTATATTTTTAATACATATTGATATGCATACAAAATACATTAGAGGAACACTCTGGTCACTGTAACACCATCTAAATTAAGTTATTGTGCACACTCTTACCCGATGGGGTTAAACCCTTCTCTAATGGTTTAATCCCAAAGTTTGCCTCCAGTGCCGATCTTCAGATCCTCTAGGCAGCATCTGGCTTCTGAACCGGAGAAGCAGGATGCATAGAGTGCCGCCAGGCATTGGCACCACTGATTGGCTACAGAGGTCAACTGAGCAGTAGCTCCCCAATCAGACTGCTCTAGCTAATCAGCGGTGACACCCAACACATCCTGTATCTCAGATTCAGAAGATAAAGATTGATGGACGCAACCTCTGGGGTTAAATCGTTCCAGAACAGTTTAACACCTTAAGGTAAAAGTGTGCCCAGGGGCCTCCTGGCACCAAAGCAACTTCATTTAGGTTTATACAGAACAAGAGACAAAAATTATTATTTTTTTTTTTTTTTTAAGATCAAGTAACGATGGAGGATATGAAAGGTAAATTAACACGATCTAATGGATGTGGGAAAAGTAAATGCATAATTTCCTGTAAAGCACCAGAGAGTGCCTACAAATAACCACTGCCATATACAGGGTATCCTAAAAATACAGAACACTTAAAAGAAAGTTGTATTACTACTTAGGAAAAAAAAAAAAAAAGTACATAATACTATAACCTTTTTGTATTATTCTGTAATATATATATATATATATATATATATATATATATATATATATATATATATATATATATATATACACACACACACACACACACACACACACACACACACACACACATATATATACACACACAAAAATACCAGTTTTCAGGGAATCTGTCGGCTTAGCCTTGCCATATTAATTCCTCTTTGGTCAGAAGCACTGCTTACTGGACTATATAAATCATGCTAGTAATTGAGAGCTTGTGTGCATTCAAGCATCCTGATATCATAAACCGCTCCAGCCCTTAAAGGGAAAGGGTCACCACTTACCTGGCTCACCACTCCACCCACACCCCACCTCCTGTCCGCCGAGAGTCCTCCTTTGGCCCTGCCTGGAAACTCCTCCCCAAGCAGCGCAAAACTCCTCTGTGGTGCTTCATTGCCAGCATCTGAACAAATTGACATCTCTCCATTCTTATACTAACTAACCAGCGTTAGCAAAACTGGCTGTGTTCTTACTATAGCAACACAGCACTTGTGCTGTGGTTGTTATGGGTGGAGAGCAGAGGGACGTCCTGTGGGAGGTCTCTTTTGCTCTTCCGGTCTCAATTCCTTTGCATTTAGTGTCTGCCAAGGAACTGAGAGACAGCTGGGATAAAAATGATATTTTTCTCCACATCTATACATTCGTTAGGACAACACTTTTTTTTTTTTTTTTAGAGCGCAAGTTAAAAATGGCATGACTTTCCAATTGTACATTGTTTAGAAGCTAAATGTCACTTAAAATAAAAATGAAAATATGACAAACTTATTGCACCCATAAAACAAAGGGGTAAAACAATTGATATACAAATACAAATTTAGCATAACCGCAACAAAAGAATGCAGAGAATATTACACGTCCTCATTGTAAGGACTTTTCACTAAATTCTAAATTGTAGTAATTTTAAATAATGGCAAATGGTAGAGAAAAGTAAAGGTTAACAAAAACCTATGTAAAAGTTACGTTTGCCCATCCCACAGCTCTGCAGAAAATTAATCTGTATACAGGACCGATAAATACACAAACACTCCAATTAAAAGGCTTTTTGTAACTAAGAAAAGAGCATCTATTTGTAGTATGAATATAGGCGTTTGGTTTTCCTTTTATTACACAACTGAATACAGTAATTTTAAAGCCTTTCTAGAAGGCCCACATGTGCTTACTATAGCCACATGTAACATTACACCTGTCATGGTACAATGGATGTGCTACAATTTGTGTCTATTGCCAGACAACTCCTGAAACTACAAAGCTTCTGCAGTTATTCCTCACAATAACTCACTGAGGGTTAGCCCAGACACCTCAGATGTATCTGTACTGAAATTCCCACTAAGCACAGTCAGTCTCAACGCTGTATAATCATTATGTGAGAAACATAGCTCAGAAACATCGGTGTTGCCTAGGAAAGCTATCACTGCAGTAGAAGAATACAACTGCAGCATCCTGCAGACACACAAGTGCCATTGTATTAATTCCAAGGAATATTAAAAAGGATGTGAATGATGCACGTGACCAGAGATATTGAAGGTTGATCTTCTGACAACAGCATTATTATATATTACTATATACAAAGCGGTATTAATTTGATATTAGGCAGATGCATGCGAGTTGCCATGAGGACACATACAGGGTTATTCCTTAAACTCTGAATTTTAGCAAACTTAGATAAATGCTTAAAGAGCCAACTTGGGAAACAAATTATTCAACTAAGCTGTAGCCACAGCTTTGTTATCTTAGCCTCAATTTTTCTAATTCAAAAATACAGATTTTAGTGAATAATAATAATGGAGGTTATTCACTAAACCCCTATCTAGCAGTAATCCAAGTAGCAAATGTTAAAGGACCACTATAGTGCCAGGAAAACACTTGTTTTCCTGGCACTATAGTGCCCTGAGGGTGCCCCCACCCTCAGGTTCCCCCTCCCGCCCAGCTCTGGGGGGTGGAAAGGGTAAAAACTTACCTTTTCCCCAACTCTGGGCGGGAAGCTCACCACCTCCTCTCCTCCCATTCGGCTGAATGCGCACGCGCGGCAAGAGCTGCGCGCACAGCCGGTCGCATAGGAAAGCATTTACAATGCTTTCCTATGGACGCTTGCATGCTCTCACTGTGATTTTCACAGTGAGAATCACGCAAGCGCCTCTAGCAGCTGTCAATGAGACAGCCGCTAGAGGAATTGGAGGAAGGATTAACCCATTTGTAAACATAGCAGTTTCTCTGAAACTGATATATATATTTAAAAAAAAAAAAAAATGGGTTAATCCTAGCTGGACCTGGCACCCAGACCACTTCATTAAGCTGAAGTGGTCTGGGTGCCTAGAGTGGTCCTTTAAGTTAAACTGGTTATTGCCACCTTAGATTATTTTATTCCTCCCCAAATTTGGACTTTTTTGCAATTCGGTTTTTAATTTATGACAATTTGGTATTTACCAGTAACTCCATCCACCTCACATGGAAACCAATGGAAGTGGATGTGACTGCAGTGTCTCAAAGAGGTCTCAGGCCCATGTGGCTTTCACGGGAGATTTTATAAACGTCACCCAGCAAAACTATAGAATTATAAAACAAATATATATATTTTAGGGAATTTAAAAAATAAAATAAAAAAAAACTTCTTCTAGGAAGAAATAAAACTACGTTAATAGACCAGGCTGAGATTAGCCAACAGGCTGCGTCACAGGCACATGTCCACCTGGCTAGCCTGTCATAATGAAGACATCATGTTTACTGCACACTGATCATACTGCGAGTGCCCTGTCTCTGTGTAACACAGAGCGGCCATTAATGTCTGGACTCACAATCCATCAGGAGCAAAAAGGGGAAAAAACGTGTCTCGCTCTCTCTGGGTCTTTAAAGGTACTTGATGATCGGCCCCGCCCACCCCGGCTCGCGATTGGCTGCCGGAACTGTCAGCTCTGAAAAGGAGCTTCCTGATTGGCTGAGACGCAGATCGATCATCGCTGAGTTTTAAGAGCGAGATACCGGCCACACCGGGGGCCCCCCCCACCACACACGATCTCCCTTCCCCCTCTTCATCCCCGTCCAACTTATTATACCGGGACCGGAGAAGGGGGGCGCGGGGATATGACGTCACACCAGCCTCGCCATCTGAGGTGATTGTATTCTACCCGGCAACCCAGGCCGCCCACGGGGACTCGTGTCAGGCAGGGCCACGAGCAGGGATGGGGGGCTCCAGTTACCTGACTTCATGAGGCCGGTGACATCCTCTCAGCCATCATCACCCCGGGCTGCTGCTGCTGCACTGCGTGTCGGCTGCCTTCTCTTTCTCTCAAGGAGTTTTATAACAAGGAGGAAAAAAAAAAAAAGAAGAAAATTTTTCCCCCTCCCCACTCAAAAATAAATCCTCATTCTCCCACCCTTCGTAGTCACCTCCTCCTTCTTTTTAACGCTGCGCGGCATGGCAGGGCGCGTGCACGGCCCGGTGTGCTCTCTCTCTCTGTCTGTCTGTGTGTGTGGGGCGGGAGCGCGCGCGCCCCCTGGTGGCCTGTTATCAGGGCCGGGTGGGAGGTGGTGGCGGTTGGGGGCGCGCGCCCGGGTGGGCGGGGCTTGTTTCCCCTCAGCATTGCCCACCGCGTGCTCACTCCCAGTCAGGAGGCGGGAAGTGTCAGCTGACGCGTGTTTGGCGCGGATTTACTCGCGCGCTCTCTTCCACACCCCCCTCCTCCCCTCCTCCTCCTCCTTTCCCCTCATGCTCACTGAGTGTGTGGCGTGTCTGTGAGGGGAAGAGTAGAGCATCCTGCTGACTCACTGTGCTGTGAGGGCCAGGCATTGCTGGGGAGTGTGTGACATTAATGGCAGTCTCTCCAGGCTGACAGTCAGAGAAATCTCCTCTCCTTGGCTTCAGCTCAGGGAGTGTCAGTGTTTGGCAAGCTCCCTCAGTCAGGATATGGGGCTCATTGGTCCTGCATCCTGTTGGTGTAACAGCATTGCTTGTTGCGGGTGCTCAGTGTGAAGGATTGATGTGTGTGTGTGTGTGTGTGTGTGTGTGATGACGACTGCGGAATTTGATGGCGCTATATAAATAACATAATAATACTAATGACACAGTAAAAATAACTGATCTGAAAAAACAAACAGGAGATCCCATGTCTGTACTCTGTGTGGAGGGGCCCTGGTGGTCAGATCCACTTGTTGTGCTGGACATTGGCAGAAGGAACAGATAATGGAAATCATGGTGATTAGTACCTTTTAGAGATGAATCACCACTTTCCAGGCGTATTAAAATATATATATATTTTTTGGAGCTCTGAAAAATATTTAAAAAATGGGAGGCTTTTCTACGGCTGTATCTGTTTATACTGGAACTGCGTACCTCCATATTGGCACCCTCTCCATTATTATTATAAGCCCAGTCCTTTTTTTTTAAACATATTTGTGGTTGTGCCAATCATTTTACTCTGTGCCTCTATGAGATTTATAAAGTTGTCTATATGGGCTTTGAACAGAAAGACACAATGGGGCAACCTTATGCCAATTGTCAAATTTTTAATTTGCAGCTAATACGAGATACAGGCGAGCATTGAACTACTGTAGTTCTATAAAGCTGTAAATGAAATGATGTAACATTGTTCCTATTATTATATATGTAATTAGTGGGGAAAAAATGAAAATTTTCTTTTTTTGCTGCATCTGACACACAAAGATGCATAGCTGGGTGAAATAATGTTAGACAAAACCGTGGGCATTAGTAATGTTACTACTGCACAATAAAAAAAAAAAAAACTTATACAGAACACTTTTTTGTGGTTTTGTCCTCAAATGCAATGTGTATCACTGGTTGCACCTTCACTGAACTGTTTTGCAATGTCAATTGCTAAATGTTCAACATTCTAATAGAAAAGAGGGTAAAAGTATATTTTAGCGTATTTTATAATTTTCCGTTTCGTTCAGTTGTAATTTAAGCAAAATAACTCATAGTATTTGTCTTACCTAGAATGTGGGGAGTAAAGGTATATTTTAGCATATTTTATTGTTTGGAGTTAGTTGTTTTGGTTATTGTGCCACTTAATCACACCTGAACGAAACGACAAATAGGCTAGGTTATTTTCAATGTTTTATTCGAAGATGTACTATCTAGAAAAGGGACAGTTCTTTAAATCCAGCGTCTTAGCTGCATCACTCATGGTCTTATTTTGTGCTGAACTCCTTATGTTGTGAGGTCACAATGCATGCTGGCAAGTTGTATATTGTGAGTTTGCAATAAAGCCTAGCTTGTTCAATGAGGTCACAAGTGGTAGACTGCAGCATCATGAAAGGTTGGAGTTCATTTGTTGAGATACAGCGGGTTATGAGTAGCTTGTCTAGGGGCACATCATGTTAATTAGGTAAGTGATACAGTGAAGGTTACGTGCTTTTTCTTATTTATGTGCATATGCCTTCTGTAATTGTAAGACAATGTTTTTGTCACTACAGAGTCCTAATTGTGTTGAAAAATCCTTAAAGGACTTGAGCTGTATTCCTAACACTAAAGTGTTCCTCTGATCCCCCCACATCATGCCTCTCGATAGCAAATAAAGGGTTAATAACACTTTTTACATTCGCCTTATTCCAATGCAAAGGTCCCTCAGCGCTGGATCCGCTGCCTCCAACATCCACCCCCAGAGAGAACCTAATATGCTTTGCTGTGCATTCGCATTAGGCCTTCCCCATTGGAATTCATTGAATCAATGATTTCCTATGGGGGACTTGAAGAAGCTGGATGTCCTGAAGCACAGCATGAGGATGTCCAGCTTCGTTTCACTGAGTCAAACTCCATGAAACAGCAGGAAATGCCACTAGAGGGAGTCTTAAACCTGCAATATAAACATTGCAGTTTCTCTGAAACTGCAACGTTTCTATATTGCAATGAGTTGAAGTGATCTGGGTGCCTATAGTGTCTCTTAAAGAGGACTTCTAAACTATCACTCTTTCTGATGAAGAGCATGTTTTGTCGTATGTTTATGTATGTTATCACACTGAAGCCTTGCCTGTTGTCTTGGATGGACTCAATGTGAGGTTGCAATAATTGTTTGTTACCAGCTCCCCCCTCTTCATGTCTGAAGTATAGCTGTTTTTGTTTTTGAAAAGGAACTTCACAACTTTTTCCCCTGCTATTTTAACTACTAATTGGCCTGGCATGTGATGTAAAAAAATATCCCCAGAGAAGTGCTTATATGAACTAGCAATTTAGCTACAGCAGATGTATTTCCCATGTAGTAAATAAATAAAAACCTTTGTACAGGAAAGAGGCAATTAGTATGCTGCAGATTAATATCCCACTGGGCTATAAGCAGGGCAGCTCCTCCCATACACACATTCACTCTTAGTATAGTCAAGGTGAATGGAACCAAGCATGGCAAGTATCTTCAACATGCCCATGCACCTGTCTAATCCCTGGTCTCAGGTGGTCTCCGTTATATTACCTTATTGTTAATTTGTCTAAGTTAGATTTAAATTCACTTTCTTTGCAATAGAAGTGTACGTTCCTGTAGTTTCAGCTCTAACTAGCATCTATAATCATGTGTTCATGCATGCACTGGTCCGGTACAAGTTCCAACCGAACATATATTTATGCTTTTCAGAATGTAATTGCCTGCATCAAACCAAAAACACTACTTTAAAAGCAACTACAGACACCTATAGTCTGAACTTTACACTGACACAACACAAGACCGATGTTTCCTCACTCATGAATATTGTGGTTCTTTCTTTGGTTTGTCATTTATCAGGCTGGAGTACAGGTTCCCTTTTGGGTTAACATTAGTGGTCACTTGTGGCAGCCCTCCAGGGCCGGACTGGGAAAAAAATTAGGCCCGGGCATTTTTCAATTAGAGTGGCCCCCTAAGAAGGGGGCGGGGCCAGGGAGGGTGTGTTTTGTCATCACTAATGACAAGCATGCCCCCTCTCAAAGTGAGCATGTTGGTTCAATGCGCAGAGCCCCGCTGAAGAGCTCTAGCATGAGAAAAAGGCCCTGTGTTTGTTCTGCACAGCGCAAGCAAATTTAATAACATCGAAATCAGGAAGGAGGTTCAGCGCTGATAGGAAAACAGGGAATATAACAAAAAGGGAGCACACCTATAAAGAAGGGGAATCCCCTCTGAACCCCTTAGAGTACAATGGAGAGAAAATAAGGAATACGGGTGCGCCTAAAACAGGTAGAGTAATAATATTGAAAATGGTAAAGAGTATGAGCAGCGGTACCTAATAGTTCGAATATAAATAGACCAAATATGCAGGTGGTAATCCTAGTGGTACATAAAATGGTATGTAAAATCCCAGATGTGTAGCCGCAACTTCGAAATGAATATGTGGAAAAAACAGCAGACAGAGGAAACTCCAATGGTATAGTATGAACGGTAAATAATATTGTGTATATAATAATAGAACTACTCACAATATTCAGAGCTTAAATCCAGCTCTGGTATGAATGGCACGAAGTGGAATAATCCCCACTCAAGGATATATGGTGCTCCTCTTTTGTTCTTTAGGAGGATAAATTGGTAGAGTAATCCAGCTCGGGATAAAAGGATAAAATAAATAGTGCTCACTATATAGCTGATAAAATGTTGAGACAGAATAAAATATACTCACGGTATATGGAGCAGACATACTGCTCGGTGGATGGCGTATGGGTGGTATAATCCCCACTTTAGGATTCTTGGTACTCCAATATGGATAAAAGGCGATAGTAGTTAGGTGTCACGTATTCATCCGCTTATAGAAATGTGGTTAATGACATTTACTGTCCACACAGGAAAAGTTGTGCCGAGCAGCAACCTAATCCACAGAAGGTTTAATGCTGAGCAGTAATTGTGCAAATGAAACCTGGTCTCATGTATTCATCCGCTTATAGAAAAGTGGTTAATGACATTTACTGTCCACACAGGAAAAGTTGTGCCGAGCAGCAACCTAATCCACAGAAGGTTTAATGCTGAGCAGCAATTATGCAAATGAAACCTGGTAACTGACTTTGGAGTCAAAGGCCGGTTACAGCCTATCAGAAAGAAAGGAGGGGTATTTAGGCCCAGTTCTCAGCCTGCTCAGTGCCCTGTCGTGGTTTCCCTTGTGGTTGTCTGAGAGCGCGTTCCTGTTTATAGTTTTCTACCTGGTTTTTGACTTTGGCTTTGTTTATTGACTTCTCTATATTCTGGTATCCTGACTCCTGGCTTTCCTCATCGCTGTGTCCCTTTCTGTGTTCCCTGACCTCGGCTAGTATTTTTGACTATTCTTTGTACGTTAAATCCGGCCATTCTAAGGACCGGTAATACGTTACTTATTTGCCATCCGTGCTGTACAGTTCTACGTGCTGGATCAAACAGTAATCCTGACATTACGACATGGCCATAGATCCTGTAGAACTGTGTCAGCACACAGCTGCTTGCGAGAGGAAA